ATAAAGCTCAATGACCATGAGCCAGTACATTATCTCTCAGAGCCTGTGTTGTCCTTTGTAAAGTGAATGACAGTAGCATCTGCTTAATAGGAATGGTATGGTGAATAAGGGTGTTAATTCATGTAAAGCATTGGCAACTGTGCCTGGCACATAGCAAGTGCACAATACCTATGAGCTTCATGCAGCTTGGCAGGCAGGTAGCTACATTTTGCAGCTTGGAACTCTCAGATTGATTTTGTATCATAGATTAGGAATAAGGAAATTTTTCAATACAAGAAAGCTACTATTTATCCCTGTAGTGTGGCATTTAGACAGCCAGGATTCATATGATCCCAGAACTAAGTCTGTGACACAGAGCAAGTTCCCATTTTTTAAACCTCAGTTTCTATATCTGTAGAATGAGCACGGTAATCGGAACTATTTCCCAGAATTGTGAAAATCATAATGAGGCCACATGAGGAAAGAGCTTGGGTAGTGCACTCAACCCCTGGTTGTTTTTGTCGTCGTCCTTATTTCGCGCATGAAGAAGCTGTCTTGGAGGTCGTGCTTGCTCATTGTTGTGTAGGGGACAAGGCAGAGTGTGTTTAGAACCACGTCTCCTGATTTCCACTTGGGACACCCCATCCCTCTCCTGCCCTGTGACTTGAGCACACTTGTGCATTTTATGACATCCTCCTATTTTCATCCCTTCCACTTCCACTTTAGGAGCCAGCTGGTTTTCTTGCCCTCCACTACCACCACCCCCCAACACACCAGCCTCTTGACTTTTCCCAGGGTTTGGAAGAAGACTGGGCATTATTAGTAAAATCTGTAGCTGATCATTGCGAGGTTCCCTTGAGACAATCTTTCCTTACTCATTAATAAATCATTGTTTTGAGGGCTGTGATTGTCTTTCCCTACTTTAGATTGAGAATCTAAAATTTCTCTCTGGCCCTGGCAATCTGTTCCCCCAACCACACCCCACCCCCAAAGGAGATGCTTAGATGGTGAATTTCATTCTGGCCACTAGTCTTGCCCCTCTCTGAGCTATCCATGTCTACATATGGCGATCTAGAGGGACATCGTTCCTTCATTGATTCAACAATTAGGTGAGTGTGCTGCCTTGTAGAGCTTAGAAGGCCAGTTGTCCACACTTTACTTGTAACTGTGGTGTTCAGCTGGGGGCCCAGTCCATGTGGCTAAAAATCCTGCAAGGTTTTACAATGTTGGAGGTAGATGGAGTTATATACTGGATCTCTCATTTCCTTTACTTTGTATTCAATAAAATTCCAAAGTCAATGTACATACGGTCATGAAGTAATTTAATGATAAGTTTTATGTTCATACAGTCATTCAACAATTTAATGATGAGTGATATTCTAGGAAGAGCAGCATACTGTTTACCCAAAGAAACCAAAACATTGTCTTTGGAAAGTTTTTGTCTACTCTCACAAAATATGGGTAGATAAATTTGCAGCCGAAAATTCAATATGAAGAACAAAGAATAGAATTAAGTTAAAATGACTAAGATCTGAGGCTGAATTAATGTATTTCCTTTGTGAGAAACAGAATCAAAAGTAGTAGGAGGCCTGAGTTGTGCTTTTTATGTTTGTGGGGGTGATGGAGGGGAGATCGGAGTTGAAAAATTTGGTTTTAAACAAGGTCATCATGAAGTGAGCGGGATGTCTGAGTAGAAGTGTTCAGCATACATGTGTATTCTGCTTGAAATCAGGATCAGGGTTAAGCAGGTACCTTCTCCCTGGGGGACCTGCAGGGAACGGGGCCTCTTCTCTTTCTGAGGCCTTTGGTGGTTACTGTGTGGGTAGAAAACTCAAGTGTACCTGACTGGTTACTACCATCTGGGCTTTCTGTCCAGAGACCCACAGGCAGGGCAGGCTTGCTGTTCACAGCTCCTTGCAAGTGCAGATCAAGGTCTGGAAAACTGAGGCATGAGGCCAGCATCCCCAGCAGCCGTCCACCCAAGCGGACTGTGTCCACAGGAATGTGCCAGTTGTACCCTACTTTCTGCCCTCACCAGATTTCCCAGCCTTCCTGTGGGCTAGCAGGTATCTTTTCCATAAGGTTTCTTCTGCCCCAGTTAGGGTCACATGTCCCATCAGTTCTGGTTAGTCCAAGTGTCCTGTGAAAGGTTCACGAAGCATTTGGAGGCCCTGTGGTTGGAGATGGATTTTCCTTCACATTGTTACCAAATGAATAAAATGAAATAAAGTAGTATGCCCATTCTAAGATGCAGTAGTGTGCCCATTTACCTGCTATGTGAACTTGGGGAAGCAACATCTCTGCTTGGATGCCTAATCAAAGTTCCACAATTCCCAATACCATTCCCAAATCTGCTTTTCACTTAGTCATTCTCATCTCAGAATAAAGATGGCATTGCTCTTCCACCAATCCTTCAAGCCAGAAACCTCAAGGCCGTTCTTGCCCTTCTTTGATGTTCTACTCCATCTCCTGTCCATCTGTAGCTCCTCTTCACATCACAAAACTTACCATGACTGTCTTTTAAGCTTTTCCTTCATTTCAGCCACCCACATCCAAATCACCATCATATCCTTATTCTTAAATAACTTTTCTTTCTCTGAGTTGGATCCCTTGAAATCTTCTTAGCGTACTGAGTGATCTTTTTAAATTTGATGAAGATCCTTCAGTGGCTTTGAATTGAACCTAAACCAGAATACAAAACTGCTGGCTGTGGCTACCAGGCCCTGTGTGGTATTTCCCCTTCCTTCTTCTCCTGCTGCATCCATTCCTCTTGCTCATCACACTTTAGCCAAGCTGGTCTCAAACTTGCCAGTCGTTTGTGGGCTGTTCTATGTTGTGGGCTACTCCTCCCTTGGTCTGAGATCCTGTTCCCCTAAGTGATGACTGAATTTCTTCTTCCTGATCTTAAGGTCCCTGGTCAAATTCTTGTTTCCAGGGAAACCTTTCCTCACCACCCATTGTAAATCCTTGTGGCTTTTCCTTTCATGCTACTTCGTTTCCTACCTGGGAGTTACAGCATCTGAAGTCTTCTAATTTATTTATTTGTGTGATTTTTGTATTCCCCATCACATGCTAAAATATGAGCTCCAGGATACCAGAGATCATTTCCTTCTGTTTTGCATTGTGTTTTAAATGCCCAGAAATACCATAATAATGCCCAATAAATATTTGCTGGACAAATGAATAAAATGATGAATGAAGTAATTTAAGTTTTAAGCCTTATCATGTGTAACACCTTCCTCATGGGAAAGTTAAGTAAAATATTACATGTAAAGCACTTAACACAGTACTTGAGACATATTAAGTACTATAGGGGTTGGCGCTGTGGCATAGAAGGTTAAATCTCTGCCTGAAGTGTCAGCACCCCATATGAGCCTTGATCTGAATCCTGGCTGCTCCACTTCCAATCCGACTCCCTGCTGATGTGCTTTAGAAAGCAGTGGAAGATGGCCCAAATGCTTGAGTCCCTGTATCCATGTAGGAGACCCAGAAGAAGCTCCTGGCTTCAGCCTGGCCCAGTCCCAGCTATTGCAGCCATTTGGGGAGTGAACCAGCAAACAGAAGATCTCTCTTTCTCCTTCTGTCTCTGTATCTCTGCCTTTTAAATAAGTAAATTAATTAAAAAAAGAGAGTACTGGATAAGTATTACTGGTTTCTGTTTTTGCTTTTGTCATTCCTGGACTAACATTTTGTAGCATTATGGAAATTTATGTCAACACGTGATCAGATGTTAATTACTTTCTTCTGCTCAGATACCAGTATACAGTAGCATGGGAAATAAAGGTTGAATTTTTGCTTATAGCTCTCTGTGATAATTTTATATGGAATTATCAGAATCACCTGGGAATAATTTCAAAGTTTTCCTTCCTTCTCCCAGGAGGGTGTCTCATATTCTCTTGACAGAGTATAGGTATGCATTGTTTTAAAATTTTCTCTCAGTGATTATTAACATTCTTGCTATCATCTAAACCAAAGAAAAGGAACATTTTTTTCTGCCAGGGCTTTTTGGCTATTTATAGCATCATTCACAGACTATAAAAAATTATCCACTCAAAAATTAGCCTGCTATAGATTTATTGAATTTAGAGTCCCCCCACAATTACCTTCGCAGGACCAGACCAAATTTCACAAGCCTTATATGGCCCATGGGTCAGATGTTACCCACACCTGAAACTGAAGAAAACACCTAAGACATAAATGTAATTTATCCAAGGTCCAGATCATTTCCAGATTTAAGATTTCCTAAAAAAGAGGAGCAAGGTAGACCACTGGAGAAGTTGCTGTGTCTGGGGACCCTGAGATCCAGGGATCACCCAGGTATTCTGGAGTCAGGAATGCAGAGGCCCAGGCGCAGCAACATCCTAACTGATGCTAAATTAACAATTAGTAACCGTGATTTCCTTTACCTACTTAACAGGTTGGTCACCAGATAAGACCTGGGGATCCATCCCGGAGGGTCAGATGGAAGAGAAGTGAGCTAGATGGGTCCTTATCCTGCTTGGCCGCTGGTCCTTTTTATGTTTAGGGATCTGCTTAGCTGCAGATTGATGTGAATATTTTCCAGAACATCAGGTGTGAGTCTGGACCTGGAGTCAGGACCTTCCTTTGGAGGACAGTAACTGTACAAAGGAAATGCAGTACCCATGATTGCCCTGAGCCTGCAGGAAGCAGATGCACTCTGTTGGTTAATTTCTCTCTCTCCCAATTCTATCACCAACCCTTCTATGAAGGTTGAGGTGTTTCTTTCTGGGGGTGATTCCAGATACATGTGCAGACCTGAATTCTTCAGTGCCCATTGCTTGGTTCCAAAGATTGCCCTGGATTGCTTCTTAAAATCTAATGCAAAGGCATATTTTTCTATTAGAGTACATTTAACTTCTGTTTGAAGGATAGAGTATTTCATGTTATATGGTTAATTATACATATGCACATATATACTTGTTTATCATATTCTGTAGCCTGTCACTGAACTGACAGAAGTATGGTCTAATGGAAATTTTCTTTTTCTTTTGATCTGTTAGTGCTGCCAACTGTCCCTATTCGGAAATCAATTTGAATAAAGACCGTATTTTCCCAGACCGCTTAAGTGGGGAGATGCCTCCGGCTAGCCCGTCATTTCCAAGAAATAAAAGGACAGATGCAAATGAAAGCTCTTCATCTCCTGAAATCAGGTAATTCAGGTGTTAATATTAGTGTGGTTTACCACCGCTCTAATTGAAGGAGGCTTTCTGTCTTACATGTTTCATGTTTTGTAGCAGTGTTTGCTTGTGGATTGTTGAAAATGTACCTGATTTAATGTGAATAATGATAGAGCTCAGAACTTTAACTTTTTTTTTAAGGAATCACGTTCGAAACAGCATGTCCAAATTAGGCAGGGTTTCCGTACTTGTTTATCTTTTCTTTGAACTTGCTTGATGTTGGAGGTTTGAAAATTCCATTCATTTTATTGCATGCAGGTTCCTATTTCTCTGTGAGTAGATCAATACGTATATGGAGCCAATCTTTATAAGTAAGATGACAACAGACTGCCCTTGTGAAGAGTGGACATGATTTCCTTTAAGTGCTTCTTTTTGGCCAACTACTTGTGTATGCATTGCTTTGTTTAATTATTAATATGTTAACTGTGTTATAAGCTCAGTCATTTAGTTTGAATTCACTTAGAGCTGTGTTGGAATGTTTAACTGCAGTCATAAATAAAGGATCAAACTTGTGATGTGGTTGCAAGGAAGAGAAGATCCATAGACACATGCTCCTCGATGCTTGGGTTCTGGGGGTTTCTTCTAGGAAGGATTTTGAAACCTAACATAGCATAATTTTTGTTGTTTGTTTTAGTCGTTTATAACTTCCATTATTCTTGATGTATCAGGTAGACATTTGAATTAGTAAATGTGATTCTAAAGTTACAGCCGTATTATTGGAATGATAGCATTTAAAGTATTATTATCCTTACAGAAAGGTACCCTATGAATTATGGGGAGAACCACAACTTCTTCAGTTATTAACAGTGGTGATTTTTCTTATCCTTAAACTTATGAATTTTATAATAAACTCATTTACCAAATCTCAGCACCTTAAAATGAGGGTCACTTGAAGAAATTTAACTTTTTTTCTTAAAGATTGTATTTATTTATTTGAGAGATAGAGTTACAGACAGAGAGGGAGAGACAGAGAGAAAGTTATTGTAATTGCGAATCCACTCCCAAATGGCTGCGACAGTTAGAACTAGGCCCATCTGAAGCCAGGAGCCAGAAGCTTCTTCCTGGTCTCCCATGTGGGTACAGGGGCATAAGCACTTAGGCCATCTTCTGCTGCTTTCCCAGGCCACAGCAGAGAGCTGGATCATAAGAGCAGCCAGGATACAAACCAGCACCCACATGGGGTGCAGCACCGCAGGCAGAGGCTTAGCCTACTACGCCACAGCACACAGTGCTGGCCTGAAGAAATTTAATTTTCAAATGGAAGTTTTCAGTTCAGATAGTTAAAGTTACACATTTGGAGTTAAAAATACCTACAGTTTAGAATTTGAATCGCTAGGATGCCACTCAAAACATCAGTGGAGTACTCAGAGGGCTGGACGTTGCCTCTTACCAGATTTTCAATAAGTAGGTCAGATACCTGGGACCAGAGTGTTCTCACAGCAGAATGAGGTACTGGTTTGAATGCTCTCTTGGGTTCCTTTTGCTTGTAAATCCTCAGAAAAGAATATTTTTGGTGATGGGACCAGCCACTCCAGGGTTCTTTCTCCTGTTCGAGTGTGATCATGGTTTTTTTTTGTGTCATTATCTGTGATTAAGAAGGCAATCTCAGTCATTTTAAGTTTTCTATAGTAACTGGTTGTACATATTTCCTATCTAAATATTTTTTAAATTACATATATTTAGTTTATATTACTTTTAAGTAAATGAATTCTGACCTGCTATTACTTTTACCCTTTTTTTCTGCCTTTTTGTGGGCCTTTAGTTAAATGTGTGGGTTCAAAATACCCATCTTACTATAGGGTTTCAACCAGAGCCTTTACTCATTGAAACCCTGAATTGTCTATCAATTGGGATTGGCAGCTCCAGAGTCTAAATTAAAATGAGGAGTATGTGCCTACTCCATATGACGCTATGCAGGCCACATGATGCGTCATTATGTTTATGGAGCCTCTACTGTTGCCACGTCCCCTCTGGCTGCTGGTCAGGCACTTAACAGCAGCAGCTGAACCATCCCAGTATTCATTTGGTTACCGCTGAGGTATGGAACACGACTGGCCTTAGAACTCTCCTCCCAGCCATCTCCTCCACATCCTAAAAGCTCACTCTCACTTTATTCCCAGAAGATGAAAAGACCTTTCTATCTCTTATTGATCTCTTAGAAACTGTAATTTCTGAATGTAACCCAAGTTTAGAAACCATGTCTTTAGGAAGTAAAGAAACAGTCTCCCACTTGTTTCCCAGTGAGTTTCCTTCTTTCCATGAAAGTGCTGAATATGTTGTATAACCAGTAGTAGTGTGTTTTGAATTGTGTGTGTATGCGTTCATAATTTCAAAGCATTTCATTTGATTATCATGGATGTGGTCAGAGGTGTCCATGCTTAACTTATCAGGGGGTGCTGGCAGAGCAACAGTGACTTGCCTCTGACCAAGGTCAGCTAGGCAGCAGAACCAGGACTCACCTTGCAATAGTGAAAAGTAGACCTGATCTTTCTCTGTCAACCTTGGCCAGAAACATAGTTTTAATTTGTCAGAAATGTAAAATAGCCACAACTTAGAGTCTCCAACTATTTATATGGATTTTACATTTTCTTTCTTTCCATCTAATCATAAAACAATAAGTCAGTTCCACCTTGAATAAATCAAGAGATAAAAGAATAAAAATGATTATCAGATAATAAATAATCTTATTTTCATTAAGACATCTGATTCCTGGCAGAGTAAAATTAAAAAATTATTACTGATTTTTTTAAAGATTTATTCATTTATTTGAAAGAGTTACACAGAGAGAGATGAGAAGCAGAGAGAGAGAGAGAGGGAGAGGGAGAGGGAGAGGGAGAGGGAGAGGGAGAGGGGTCTTCCATCTGCTGGCTTACTCCCTAGTTGGCCACAGTGGCCGAAGCTGCACTGTTCCAAAGCCAGGAGCCAGGAGTTTCTTCCAGGTCTCCCACATGGGTGCAGGGGCCCAAGGACTTGGGCCATCTTCTGCTGCTTTCCCAGGCCATAGCAGAGAGCTGGATTGTAAGTGGAGCAGCCAGGTCTCTAACCAACGTCCATATGGGATGCCTGCACTACAGGCGGCGGCTTACCCTCTAAGCCACAGTGCCAGCCCCATTACTGATATATTTTTAAAATTAAGCATTTTCTAAGAGCTATCCTGGATCTTAGATGAGGTTGGTTGTCTCTTCCAGATTATTTTCCCCAAATGTTATTTTCCTGACTCAGTGCAAGTGTTTTTCTGTTTCTGCTTTCCTGGTTCTGTTGGTTGCTTTGTGTTACTGTTAGGAAATACCTAAGGCAACTAGCTTGTAAGAGAAGAGGTTTATTTAGCTCACAGATCTGGGACTGAAAAACCAAACGCAAGACACAGGCTCTGCAATGAGGGCCAGGCCATGGCTGCATTGCTGCAGTGTGTGGATGGCATTGGCAGCTGCAAAGCTGGGAGCCAATGATGCATCTCAAACAGGAGCAGGGGGAGCTGGGTGCAGCCTGGCTTACTTCTGTCTTGAAAACTCTCTCCAGAGAACTCAAAAAGTCCCATGGGAATGACTTAGCAAGGGTCCACCCTCGGGAACTGAAGGACTTCCCACTAGGCTCTAATTCTTAAAGGTTCCTCCACCTCCCAGTGGAGTCTTTCTGGGACCCAAGCCTCTAATCACAGCAGGCCCTTGACAAACCCTGATACTGATTCAGCTTTAAGAGTCACAAACTAGTGAGAGACAGTAAGACTTTTGGTGTAGAAAGTTGATGTAACTAAACTTGCTTAGACTTTCCCCCCATCACCCATCCATGTTTAACGCTTTGCCCTATGCCATCATTCTGTAAGCATAGCCACATAGCTCTTTATTTCTCCCATATAGACCTAAGGAGCAGCATTTCAAAGTAATTAAGAGCATAGGCACTGCTTGGATTTAAATCTTGGCTTCCCTACTTGCAGGTGTATGACCTTTGATGAGCTACTTGATAGCTATTTGTTCTGAATCTCATAGTTAATGAGGATTGTATGAGATGAACATGCAAATTAAAACTCTTAGAATAGTGACTAATAAGCCCTCAATAAATGTTAGTCTTTATTAATGTTAGTGACTGAAGAATAAATTGCATACTTGTTTTATAGTATTTTTTTATTCCTTGCAAGAAGAATGGTAGGCCTAGGCTAAATTATGAATGAGTTGTTCAAACAAGAGGATTCTCATCAGATTACATTCTCTACATTCTCTCTCTTTTTAAGATTTTATTTTGTTTTTACTTGAAAGGCAGAGTTACAAAGAGGGAAGGGTAGGGGAAGATACAGAAACATCTTCCATCTGCTGGTTCACTCCCTAAATGGCCGCAATGGCTGGGGCTGGGCTAGGCCAAAGCCAGGAGCCTGGAACTCTGTCCACATCTCCCACAGGGATGCAGGGGTCAAAACACTTGTGCCATGTTTTGCTGCTTTCCCATGCATGTTAGCAGGGAGCTGGATCAGAAGTGGAGCAGCTCAGACATGAACCAGTACCCATACAGGATGCTGATGATGTCACAGGCAGCAGCTTAACCCACTATACCATAATGCAGGCCTCTCTTCCTTTTTTGCAATCTTTTCTAAACTGGGTATAATTTCCCACTCAGTTTCAATAAATTTTCTTTGCAGTATTCTTAATAATTTACTAAAATGTGGTTACTAGACTTTACCATTATTATTATTTGTAATGCGCTTTGGCATAGCAAGAGCCAGTTTGTATCCTAGAGGTAAACCCTAAGACCAGGATTTGACTGCAGGTGGTTTACTTAAAAGATGAAGAAGCATCAGTGTAGGAGTGAAGAAGTGAGACAGGAAGGGAAAAGCAGCCAGAAAAGGCTGAATGGGCAAAACTCGTTGTCACCGTGGATGGCACAAACCTGCTGGGACACTCTGAAAACATCTCAGAATTGGACCAGCGAAGGCATGAGACAGCCAAACTTTTATTTGAGAGGCAGAGAGACAGATAGAAATC